TGGACATCCATCATTACCACTGGTGAAGTCACTGTTAATGAATGTACAATGGAGCTTCCATTCAGAGAATGCTTTTGCCTTGACTCAAGGAGGTCTTGCAGCACAGTCAATRATAGCAGAARATCTCCTCTCTGGAAGAATGAGTAGTCCTTATATCTTCAGGTTCTTCATTTCTTCCTCTAACAGTGACCTCAGTGGCGAGAGAGTCCCTTTGGTAGTGTTATGCCGGCTCTCTTCTCTTTATCAAGAAATCAGCAATTTTGTGATCAGATTTGAKCACACTTTTTGTGATCAACAAAAGTGCACACATAATGAAAAAGGGGGTCCAGGAATTCAAATTCAACAAGCCAAGGAGAAGGAATGCACTGCCATCTAGCAATCAACCCATTCGTGGAGATGAAGCTCACAAAGGAGGTTAATGAATTGATTGCTCTAAAGGCAAATATTTGAAATGGAGAGGAGGCAGGCCTTGCATGTAGAGGAACAAGATAAATGTTAAAAGTGGGTATGTTCAGGTCCTGGAAGTACTACCCGCAGACAATTACAAGGCACTGGAAGTATTGACATACTAGTAGGTTGTTACTGTACCAACCAAGCTACCACCAAAAGTTGGAGGAGGTTTATAGAAGGATCAGAATAAGCAATCTGAAATCAGATCCACMTCTTCTAGTTGTACTAGGAGAGGAGAAGAAATAACATACATACTGCTGGAAGCAAGTATTCCAAGAGGCTCTTAACCTTAAGGCTAAAAGAAAAGAGGATCAAACTGAAAGAAGGAAATAGGATCTCAAACAGACATTAAAAATAAAGTTGATAAGTTTCTTGGTGTCAAAGCAAAATTGGAACAAGAATAAAATATCAACAAATATAAGAGGAATCCCATTGTGATACTGCCTTATTTTGTAGGTACAGTTTGTTAAAATACAAAATAGGACAATACAGTTCAAACTTCTAGTAGTTGCACAAAACAGACTTACTAATGATAAAACTGAGCTATATTGTTCTTTGAGTTCCCCCTCACCGTGCACTACTACTAGTATATTGTTTTCCAGTATCAGTTTTCATTCATACCATATATGGAACAAACAACAATACTCCTTTCTCACCTCTTCTTCTATCTTTTGGAGTGGGTCTATTTTGCTGTTCTTCTTCTTGCAAGGCCTGGGTCTCATTGAGGACCAAATAGAAGATGTATTGTCTCAAGCACTACCATTCCAATAGTACCTGCTCTGCTTGTCACCAGGAAGAACCTAGTAGTATGATCTTATAGTGAAGACAGGACCTTATTGGTAGTACTGCCAGTGTTACTGATAGSATAGAAAACTATKTCGCTAATGAAATYACACTTGAAGTAGTTGCATACTACGTATCGTASCCAACATCACTTACAAGGTCTATTAATGYTACAGATCTGCATTCTTTTTTGTTGATTCGCACAGCATCGTAAGAACAATCTAAAAAGATTCCTCTGGTGGTGAATAATRTTTGAAGTWTGATTTCACACCTGCCATAGTGATCGCATAAGTGATAAGACAAACGAGCAGCGTGAATCCAAACAGTAACGAATCTAAGTGACTCATCTTCAAACGCTTGAATATCWGTTTGTCATTTGGGCCAACGCGTCGGCGTAGCTCAACTTCCTCGCACTGGGTCGCCCAGTGTTCCATCTCGTCGCCAAAAAATCCGAGGGTCACCAATTCGTAGAAAATATCGTCAATCGATTGGAGGAATTGGAGGGCCGCAAAGTTGAGAAAGACGCTCAAAACTTCGGTAGTGSTCAGCATTACATAAAAGTTCACGACAAGCGAAAGGATACCGTCTATGAGCCTCAGCAAAGACGACAGYATGTATTTGACTTYCGTTGCGGACTTGTGGGTTTCGAGGATCTGTGGATCGTAMAMGATGTTTGCAAAGCYAGAGAAACACTGAATCAAATCTTCTTGCATCGCCACTGCGACTGGAACCAAGAAGAACTTGACCGCGGTAGAAYTTGYGCTGTATCTAACGKTGCTTTCCCAACTGATGTCCTCCACAAGAATTGCRTAGCAGATGATCTTGGTGAGGACCACGTACGAAGAGAAAATGAACGGATAGCTCGATACCGGAGCGACAAAAATGAAGGCGTACACGTCTTCGGCCAGGGAGTAGGTGTCGCTTTCCTTTTTCGACTTCATGAGTGATTTGATATCCGAGCGATTTTGTTCGATAGRTTTGGACTCCTCTTCATCGCGGGGTTGTTYTACGTCAATCTCGGGGGGTTSTTCTACCTCGGGGGATTGCTCGGAGGCATCATCCGCTGACTCTGGTTGTTCTTCGTCAATCTCGGGAGGTTCTTCTACCTCGGAGGATTGCTCGGAGGCATCATCCG